TAAAATACAAAACACTAAAAACATATGAAATATAATCTTTTTAAAGCAATTAAATGCTAACAGCCTTGTTAGGATGATTGATGAATATATGGATGGGGTGGACGTCAGGATCACACCTGATCCCCTATCTATATGCACTTACCTGTACAGAGCTGTAGCCATAGTCCCAGTCCCCAATCTTTGGACTTGATGATCCTCATGGTTCCTTCCAATTATAAAGTTCTACGATTCTATTCTATCTGCCCCTCACATCCCTCTCCAGGATGTGCAGAAACTGCTTTCTTGATTGTTGGACTCACTATTGGTCTCGTTGTCTCAATCCTGTCTACATATGCAGGGGAGGTCCCTAACTCACCAAGAGTTAAAGACCCATCATACCCCCTCACCTGGTTTAGCCAGCCAACCGAAGCCATTCCCGGAATATGGCTGCTGTTGAATGCTGACAGCTTCTAGGAGTCACAGGTGAGAGTTGAGTGCAGGATGGCGGTCAAAGGTGGACAAAGTACCCCAAAAAGACCATGACATGCCCCCCCTCCCCTAACACCCCATAGACTGAAAATAATGTACAAAAAGTCATTACCATGGATCCTCAGTTTCTGAACACCACGGAAGCCAAAAGCTTCAAAACTCGAACGCCGAAAAGCCGGAAGTGAATGCTTCTGTTTTCGAATGCGCCTTGGAAGTCAAACAGCTTCCGAGGCGCATTTCTCCATTTTCTCAATAGAATTTGCCGGTCGTCCATTGCGCCTCAGTTGTCAAGCGTTTCGGAGGTCGAACGGTCTTCCGGAACGGATTACGTTCGACAACCAAGGTACCACTGTATATTAAGGGAACTTGCTTGCGAAAATGTCTATATTTAGATACAGCTGTGTATACATGTGTATATTAGGTGAAACTTATGAGGACAAAAAAAACTAAAAGTCACAAAGTGATGTGGAGAACAAAACTTAAGAATGGAGAGTGAGAAATTGATAGAAATTGAAGTTGTCAGATTTTCCCACTCCCAGTTTGAAGGGCTGCATTTGACCCCCGGGTTTTATGCTCCCCACCCCTGTTTTACACAGATCAATTTAAGAAGTGATGAGTTGGGGAGGGTGTAGTTTGCTAACATATACTTTGTTTAATCTTCAAGACAGCTTGGCATCCAGCCAGATCCATTGACGAGGCACACACACACAAATGAGTTAAAGACGCTTGTATCTAATTTGGGAACTGATTATCTCTTTCCACAGAGCATCTCCCAGTAGTTCTAAAACCCAGCTGTTTAACTAGCCAGCAAGAGGGTGGAATGGACTGGCTAATATTTATTCCCAGTTCTGTTTTGTGTTTAAGCTGTACGGCGACAGTGGAGGGGAGAAGGGAGGGGGGAGACACACATTAAAAACGTATGGGGATGAGGCAACGTCCCATTTCGTGGCGTTTCCAGCAAATGACTTTAATTGGTCAAACTATGTGAGGGTTTCGACTTGAAACCCGAAGCCTGTTGGTTGACCGCTTTGTGGCTCATCAAAAACCCTTTGGAGGAAAGTTTTCAACAGCTGGCCTGGGCAGCAGCTCTGAGATGCCTCTAACCAAAGCAAGACAAGTTTGCCAAGGCACACGCGTCCCCACCAGAGCTCCTTGGGACCTGCATTCCTGAAGGCCGCAAGCCGTGCCAAGCTGCCCATCCCATGCCTGTTACTGAACCACTTTGTTTTTCCTTGTGAATTGACTCCAGATGGTATCAACCAGGCAAAACAGTCCTGGAGATGCTGGGGTGCACCATGAAATAAGTGCTGAAGAGCAGAATGGGTTAGCACAACTTATGCAGGAAGCTGTCCTATACTAAACTCTCCTAGCTTAGTATTGTCAACACTGAGCAGCAGCAGAAGTAAAAAGGGAAGCTGCTTCTTGAGAGTGCAGTTGTACCTTGGTTGTTGAACGCCTTGGTACTCGGACGTTTTGGCTCCCAAATGCCGCAAACCCAGAAGTGAGTGTTCTGGTTTGCAAACGTTCTTTGGAACCCAAATATCCAACAGGGCTTCCATGGCTTCGGATGGGCTGAAGGAGCTTCGTGCAGCCAATCAGAAGCCATGCTTTGGTTTCCAAACTTTTCGAACAGACTTCCGTAACAGAATACGTTCTTCAACAGCCAAGGTTCCACTGTACAGGGAACACCAGTCATCTGCCAGTGTGGTGTAGTGGTTAAGAGCAGTAGATTCGTAATCTGGTGAACCGGGTTCGCGTCTCCGCTCCTTCACATGGAGCTGCTGGGTGACCTTGGGCTAGTCACACTTCTCTGAAGTCTCTCAGCCTCACTCACCTCAGAGAGTGTTTGTTGTGGGGAAGAAAGGGAAAGGAGAACGTTAGCCACTTTGAGACTCCTTCGGGTAGTGATAAAGTGGGATGTCAAATCCAAATCCAAACTCCTCCTCCTCCTCTTCTTCCTCCTCCTCCTCTCGAGGGAGTTTTCCCTTGGGAGTTTTCCATTGGGGGATTCTTGCTACCAGTGGGTGGAGCCAGAGACAAAAGCATTCTGAATTAGTTAATTCAGAATAAAGACTAATCCAGACCCTCCAAATGTCTCTATTTTCCAGGGACAATCCTGGATTTACAGAATGTCTCACTTTTCCTTAGAATGTCCCAGTTTTCATTGGTAAAATGTTGGAAGGTATGGAGTCATGCGACCCCTGAGCCAAGGAGATAACTAGCCATACAACCTTTAGAAGACATCTGAAGGCAGCCCTGTATAGGGAAGCTTTTAAATGTTTGATGTTTTATTATGTTTTTTCTATATGTTAGAAGCTGCCCAGAGTGGCTGAGGGAACCCAGTCAGATGGGTGGGGTATAATAATAATAATAATAATAATAATAATAATAATAATAAATTTTATTTATACCCCACCCTTCCCGGTTCAAAAACCAGGCTCAGGGCGGCTAACAACAAATTTAAAACAATTATAAAAGCAGTATAAAATACAGTATAAAATACAGTATAAAAACATGAATAACAATAAAATTCAAAATTCAAAAATCAATTTAGGGGAAATAAGCATTAGATAATCCCCAGGGCTAGCTGGCTGAATTGGTCCTACTTGGGCCAGCGAGGAGGCCAGGGGAGAATTAGCTGTGGGGGTCTCAGAGCGGGTGATCTTCATAAAAGGGGAGGGGAGGGAAGAGAAGAGAAGGGAAGGGAAATAAAAGATCAGGCTAAATTGAACTTAAAGGCCAGGTGGAATAGCTCTGTCTTACAGGCCCAACGGAAGGAGGTTGAATCCTGAAGGGCCCTAGTCTCATGGGACAGAGCATTCCACCAGGTCAGAGCCATCACTGAAAAGGCCCTGGCCCTGGTGGAGGATAGTCTGACTTCCTTAGGGCTCGGGACCTCTAAACTATGGTTATTCATGGACCTTAAGGTCCTCTGCGGGGCATACCAGGAGAGACAGTCCCATAGATAATTGAAATGGATGTACCTATTTTCATTGGAGAAATGTTGGCGGGTATGCTAATCTAGAATAAAGCTAATTAGGATTCCCCACCCCACCCCCAAAGAAGTACCCCCACTGCCTCTTCTACCTACATAGGATGAAGGGGGTGAGCACTTTTAAAAGTTTGGGGGAAAAGGAAGGAAACGTACAAAGTGGAGTCACCCAAGGGTTGGTATTGGGACGTGTTCTTTTTGACTTGTGCATAAACTATCTTGACATAGGGCTGAGCAGTGAGGTGGCAAAGGTTGCTGATGGTGCTAAATTGTTCAGGGTTGTTCAAACAAGGGGAGATGGTGAAGAACTCTCCAGACCGAGTGAATGGGTGGTAAAATGGCAAATTCAGTGCCAAAGAAAGGGTAAAGTTTGGGGCTTTGGGGCAAAATGTCTTGATTTCACAAATACACTCATGGGGTCAGAACTGGGGGTGACAGACCAGGAACGAGACCTTGGGGTCATAGTAGATAGCTTGATGGAGATGTTAACCCAGTGTGCGGTAGCTGTGAAAAAGACAAACAAACATTAGGGATCATTGGAAAAGGAATTGGAAAATGTTTCTCTATAACTAGACCTTTGGCTGATTAACATTTATGGCCTTTCAAATGTCCCACCCAAACTTGTCATTGGGGCTCAAGAAGGGAAGGGACTCTGTTGGGATGGAAGAATGGAGACATTGTGGACCATGTAAAATGAAATTGAGCCACAGATCGTTCACCAGTGCTCTAGAAGGAACAAAGTCCATTGTGACTTTTAGCCAGACTCCTATTTTTGCTGAAGTTATGGCTTATTCCAATGCACAACTTATTCTATTTCCCCTCGACCTGCTCTTGTCTATTCTCAACATTAGGCAGAACCACTTTTGTTCTGAAAAAGCAATCAAAGAAGTGAACAAAAGCAAAGCCTCTCTCCCCCTCCTTTTTTTTTCTTTTTTAGAAGAGAGCAAGGGAAAACCACTGTTCAATTTTTACCTTTCCAGCAATATTCCATTCATTGATTTGCAGATGTGGGGTGTTTGAAAATTGCCAGTTGCAGGAGCTGGAAGTGGGTTTGAAAAATCATCAAGCTCCCTTTTTTTTCAGGGACTGATTTGAAATGGCACCAAATGCCAAATGATTAGCTTTTTTAAAAATAGCATCAAGCCTTTTATTTCCAGTGGTACATTAAATGAAGCAATTGGTCGCACTAACCGGTTTTGCTTTATCCACAAGTTCCAGTTGGCAGGTGAAAGTTGTCCATGACTCACTTCCATAAAGCCATGTTCTTAACTTCCATAAATCAGTGAGCCTGGCAGACCAGTGTGTGTGTGTGTGTGTGAGAGAGAGAGAGAGAGAGAGAGAGAGAGAGAGAGAGAGAGAGAGAGAGAGAGAGAGAGAGAACATATATAGATATGAAAATGAACAACATATATATACATATATTAGGACCAATGGAAGCTGCCTTATAAGGAGTCAGACCGATGTTCCATCTAGCTCAGTCTTGTCTACATTGGTCACAGCTCTTTGGAGCTTCAGACAGGAAGACCTTCCTTCCACTACCAGAAGATGCTGGGGATTGAACCTGGGACCTTGTGCAAGCAAGGCAGATGCTCTGCCTCTGAGCCACAGCCCTGCCCTAAATTTCATGGAAGCATATTGGAGGAAGGTGTGTGAATGGAGGCAATTTTGGGAGAGGGCTGCCAGCGTCAATGGGAAATGTTTTAATGATCAGCACTGGGACAGTGCATTACTAAACTTGCTCACAGAAGAAGCTGGGTGAACTAGCAGTTAGAGTTTCGGACTGGGGCCTCAGAGACCTGGGTCCAAATCCCCATTCAGCCATACATCTCGTTGGGTAATCTCACCTTGAACTACTCTGAGGAAAGGTGTGGCGGGTGGCGGGTGTCTTCTTCTTCTCTGGCAATCCCTCGTAGCTGAGTAAGATTATCTTCCATAAACACGATTTTAGCAGTGAGTCTGTACGTGACTGTGGAGGCCAATTCTGGATCCACACATCCTTCCACAATGGGGACATAGGTTTCCAGGCAGGAGTTGATCACGGTGAGGGTTTGCAAAGCTTGACTTCTTCTTAGCACATTTCCCCCTTTCAACCTGAGTTCGAGCGTCTTCAAAGTTAATAATAATAATAATAATAATAATAATAATAATAATAATTTATTATTTCTACCCCGCCAATCTGGCTGGGTTTCCCCAGCCACTCTGGGCAGCTTCCAACAAAAGATTAAAAATACATTAAAACATCAGTCATTAAAACCTCCCTAAACAGGGCTGCCTTCAGATGTCTTCTAAACGTCAGATAGTTGTTTATTTCTTTGACATCTGATGGGAGGGTGTTCCACAGGGTGAGCGCCACTACCGAGAAGGCTCTCTGCCTGGTTTCCTGTAACTTTGCTTCTCACAGTGAGGGAACCACCAGAAGGCCCTCGGAGCTGGACCTCAGTGTCCGGGCTGAACGATGGGGGTGGAGACACTCCTTCAGGTATACTTTGGTAAAGGCTGTTCTCCAACTGGAGCGCTCGCAGGCCAGTGCTTCCCAGTTGTTGGTGTTTATACTACATGTTTTTAGATTTGCCTTGAGAGAGTCTTTAAACCTCTTTTGCTGAACACCAGCATTACGCTTTCCATTTTAAAGTTTGGAATACATTACTTGCTTTGGAAGACGATCATTAGGCATCCGCACAACATAACCAGTCCAACGAAGTTGATGTTGAAGAAGCATCGCTTCAACACTGGTGGTCTTTGCCTCTTCCAGTACACTGCCGTTAGTTCGCCTGTCTTCCCAAGTGATGTGTAAAGATTTTCAGACACCGTTGATGGTGTATGATATACCCAGTGACAAGCAAGACTTGTCAAGCCTGAACAGATCTAAAAGAGGTTTTTTTAAATGGCAAGGGCATCCTTGCCTTCCCTGTTCTCCACGTCTTCAGAAAGCTTGTGTAGGCGCCAACCCAACATTCCCATGTGTGATCTTGAAATGTGCAGAGCAGATGGGTGAGTCGCTGGCCTCCGTTCCTGTTTCCATTTTGATGCTCTTCAAAGGGGCATTTTCACACAGGATGCAGGAAACCTCGAGGGTCATTTCCTGCCCTTCCAAGTGAGAGGGGGAAGCCTCCAGAGAGCCCGCCCACCCCGGGGAAAGAGGGCTTGCAGATGTCAAGCTGACTTCCTAGCAAGGTCCGAGGGGCGGATGTGTCACTTACATCTTTGCCACTTGAAGATTGTGAGAACTTGGGGGAGCACCAAGCCACACGCAGATGAAGGGGTGAAGAAGAGTTCAAGCGATGGACAGCTGCTCTCATAACAGCTCAGCCTTGCTGTGTCTTTAATATGTCACAGGGACAGTATCCTCGTTTCCATCACTCCCAATTCCCTTCAGTTTCACTGCTGATTTCTTCAACGCAAGATAAATAATCGATGTTGGGCACAAATGAAACAGCAGCCACCCACTCCGAAGCTTCCATAAAGGAGTATCCTGTAAATGATGGAGTGTTTGGCAACCATGAGGACTACTGTCTTGTTCCTATATGAATCCGAATGGGAAATCTGTCCATTTCAGTTTTCCCCCGTTTCTCATTTTTCTACCATTCTCAAGTTCAGCTGGCCACATTTCCACATAAGTATTGTTATGAGTTTTTTTGGTGCCAGAGCTCTCTAATCCCTAGATCCTGTAAGTATTAGAATTTCATCAAGGCTTGGGGTGTTAAGATGAGTGCTAGACACTTCTAATTCCTGGATTCAGCAAGTGAATCAAGGTCTCTTATCCTCCTGGGTGATGGGCTATTAAGAGAACAAATGATCAAAGGGCTTGTGCTAGACGACAACTGGGTAGGGGCACTAGTGTTATAATCAGGAAAATTAACTTAATACAGTCATACCTCGGGTTGAATGTGCTTCGAGATGAGCGCATTCGAGTTGCGCTCCACGGCAACCCGGAAGTAATGGAGTGCGTTACTTCCGGGTTTCACCGCTTGCGCATGTGCAGACGCTCAAAATGACGTCACACGCATGCACAAAAGCGCCAAAACGTGACCCGCGCACGCGCAGATGCGTGGACACGGATTACGTTTGCTTCTAGATGTGAACGGGGCTCTGGAAAGGTTCCCATTCGCATCTAGAGGTATCACTGTATTCCCCATGTCCGGTCTGAATCCACCTTATTTCTTTCTTATTGCATCAGATTAAATTGCGGAGGTGGCAATAGCCCCAGCCTCTCTCTTGATCCAATACCAGAGAGATGTGCATTTCTGGGGGCCCTCCCCCCCAAATTGTCAACAATCATTTAGTCATTCAGTGCTGCCTTTCTTCTACAGGAGAATCACACCTGCTTTGCAACCCTAAGATCTATTCTCGGTTTTCCCCAAGCAAACTTCACCTTAAATTTATTCAGCAACCTATAAATGCTAAGGCTCCTGACAATATGCTCTCACTGTTGTTTTTCCCTTTGCTTCCCATCATTTTGTTGGGTGGTCTTGTATCAATCCTGCCTAGGCACAGATGTCACGCAGAGCCAGAAAAATGTAGACTGGAACCCCAGGGGAGTGTTGATGAAAATTGAAATTCAGAAGTGTTCGGTTCATGCTTTGAATGCGTAAGGATCTAGCAGAGGTAGGAAGCACATTCACCACAGAGCCTGGAGTATTTTTTACTTTTCTTGCAGTGGGTTGATAGGTTTGGCCACAGTGCTCATTCTAGGGCTGAGGAATCAGTGAAGCAGGATCATTTTAATACCAGAAGTTACATATAGGTGAATTGCTTTATTTCTAATCCATCTCACTTTTGGATGTGTCGACCTACAAGTCCACGACTGGAGGAGAAATTGGATTGATTCCACGCTTAAAAGCAAACCTAACTTATTCATGCTTCCCGAAATGATATGCAAATTGAAACACAGCCAGTCTTTGACATTCACACTGCTCCACATTTGGCAGTGCTGTTCTCCAGCCAGGTAACGTGTACAAAAAGGAACATGCCGAGGTAAAGCGTGCGTATCAATCCATATATTTGTGGAAATACCATACAGAAATGCATTATATTAGGAAATTGCTTTGGAAAAATTTGTACATTAGGCAATTTTAGATGGATGTGGAAGTGTGGAAAACTGAACTCAAGGTTGCAAAAATGACAAAATGAGAGAAACCAAAACGGAGTTCCCCCTTCATTGTTTCATCCCATTTCCACATGAACTGTGAGTGGTCTACATCATAAAAAAACATTATATACATGCTTGATAGCCACACTTTTCTTCTTTCAGTTCAAAACTTCCTGATGGCATGGTGGGTTTAAAAAAGATGGTTAATGTTAAAACTCCAAGGCCTGTGAGCACTTTCTGAAGTCCTTTCGCATGCTACTAGGACCAATCTCTTCACCTCTGAACTTCTTCAATGATGCACAACTTAGCAGCTTTTCCTAGGCAATGATCGAGACTGCTCAGTCAGGACGACAGTCAGGAACAAAGCTGATGACTAGTAACTTGATTTTGTAGTTTATTATATACGGCAGTAAACTCACAAGCTATATACAAGTTGTTGTTGTTGTTTAGTCGTTTTAGTCGTGTCCGACTCTTCGTGACCCCATGGACCAGAGCACGCCAGGCACCACTGTCTTCCACTGCCTCCCACAGTTTGCTCAAACTCATGCTGGTAGCTTCGAGAACACTATCCAACCATCTTGTTCTCTGTTGGCCCCTTCTCCTTGTGCCCTCCATCTTTTGCTGTATACAAGTTACTATATACAGACACGAACTTCATCACTCTCCAAGCACTCCAGATTACTCCTAACTAGCCAAACAATGCCTATATGAGAGACCTCAGCCAATCACTGAGCTATTACTAGGTCCTCTTATCTCCAGGAAAATTTCTCCCATGCTCTGTCTCTCTAGCCTGTAGTCAAAACACTAATTGATCACCTGCCAAACTGCACATAGACTATGAACTCCAACAACTAATACCTCACCAGATACCTGCATTAAAAAAAAATTACTTGTTTAGAAAGCAGCTGCAATTATGCAGGAAAGCACTGTTTAATGTTTGGATAAGATACAAGGATTTATTGGAAAACAAAACTCCAAGGTGGTTGTCACCAATGGAAGCGAAAGCCTTGAAAAAGCTCAATATGGAGGTCAAATGGCCAAAATATTGGGAAATTTTGGAACAAGATGGAGATAGACTGAAATTGCAGAGTTTTGAAAAATTAAAAAACAAAGTGCGAGACTGGCTTCATTAGTATCAGATAATGGAGGCATACAATTTGGACAAGAAAATTGGCTTCCAGGTGGAAAAATCAAAATTAGAAACAGAAATGTTAGAACCCAAAACTAAGAATTTGTCAAGAATGTATAACTTGCTGCTGAAATGGAACACTCAGGATGAAACGGTGAAATCTGCTATGATTAAATGGGCACAAGATGTTGGACATAATATTATGTTTGCTGACTGGGAACAGTTGTGGACCACAGGTATGAAATTTATGGCATGTAATGCCTTAAGAGAAAATATTATGAAAATGATATACAGGTGGTACATAACCCCAGTCAAGCTTGCAAAAATTTACCATTTGCCTGATAATAAATGTTGGAAATGTAAAGAAACTGAAGGTACATTTTTTCACCTTTGG